AAACACACACAGCACCCCATTTTATAATCTCATTACTTCACTTAGGAGGATATTATGAACCTTTTAATATGTTACTAAATAATTTTTCTAGATTGTGATTTCTAAAACATTGCACTGTATTCCATTATACCTGCATATGATAATTTTAATCAGCTTCCTTTTCATGTGAGGTAATTAGTAGGTCGTTGCTAATTTTTTTAAAAGATTTATTTATTTGAGAGAGAGAGAGAGAGCACAGGGAGGGGCAGAGGGAGAAGGAGAGAAGCAGACTCCACTAAACGAAGAGCCCAACGCAGGGCTTGGTCTCACGATCCTGAGATCATGACCTAAGCCAAAATCAAGAGTCAGATGTTTAACTGAACCACCCAGACACCCCAGATTGTTGCTCTTTTTTTGCCATTGTAAAAAATATCAGAGAAACATGGTCTCGTGTGTGTGTGTGTATGTATATGGTCTTGGGTGCATTTCTGATTGTTACCTTCGATTTAATCCCTGAAAGGGGAACTCATCAGTGAAATAGCCTAAGTGTGTTTAAGGCTTTTCACTCATACTACAGAATTTCTCTACAGAAAGGATTGTACCAGCTGACCATTCCCAGCAGTGACGAGTGGTCTCTCACCAATATGGGGGGTTCGGGTGTAGGGAAGATGGTGCTGCTGTTGGTCCACATACATGGTACATTGAAATCCATCTCTTTTCCGGGGACTACAGCTGACATCGTCAGCACTCTGCTGGCTTTAATAAGATGGAGCAGCACTCCATCTATCAGCGATGGTGCTGGAGTTCTTCGGGTCCATAGAAATGCTGCATTTGAAGCAGTATGTGGGTAGTAGGCAGGACTCTAAGACACTCAAAAGACTGCTGTCCCTGGTATGCGCACACCTTCTCCTAATTACTCCCCTAATGCTTTCAGGGAAAACGAAAACATGAAAGCATTTCTGTTTCCCTTAAATCAGAAGGGAAAAAAAACCCACTTTTCAAGTTGAAGAAGGTGCTTTAACATATCCTATTAATGTAATTGTCTTTACCCCAGTGCGGTTGTAAAATGTAGTTTTGGTATGGAGGAAGAGAGTTCCCACGGAAGCAAAAGGGCCCGTGAAAGTTACAACACAGCCGTGACACCACCTCGGTTCTAGAGAAGCGGGCGTTTGTACCGATGGTGGCACCCGTCACCTTACCCTCGGCCCTGGAAGTGGGGAAGCTGCTTTTCGAGGTGATCTCAGTGGATGGATGGCTTCCAGCTTTGGTTACTGGGAAGGGTTGCAGATTGCTGGTGATGCTTTGGCCGCCTCTGCCTTGGCTGAGCTGGGAAGTACCTCCCTCGCTTTCAGCGACTTGCATCATGTTTCCCTACTTGTCTTGCGATGAGTAGAAGTGGCCAGTTCCTCGAGCGCATGTGAGAGGTCCTCGGTTCCCTGGTTAGGCCCTCTGGTTCCATTCCGAGTGTCACCCCGGCAGGACCGTGGCAGGGCCGGGCAGCCCCTGCGTGCCACCCCACGCCCCACCCCAAGGATGTGCACGCTTCCAGAATGCAAAGAGCAAGGGAGAGCACACCAGTCTGAGCAACTGAACCTAGTCTGGGAATCAAAGAGATGACATTTTGAAGGTACACCATGCTTTGAAGCCTGTCAGCCAGGCACCCGGACGATCCGCCTTCCAAAGGACTTTTTTTTTTTTTTTTAAGATTTTATTTTATTTATTTGACAGAGAACACAAGCAGGGTGCAGAAGGAAAAGCAGGCTCCCCGCTGAGCAGGGAGCCCGATGCGGGGCTCGATCCCAGGACCCCGGGATCATGACCTGAGCCGAAGGCTGACGCTTCACTGACTGAGCCACCCAGGCGCCCCCAAAGGACTTACTTTAGTGCTGCAGATGCAGAGATGAGTGTCTGGCTCACCCAGCGCCCCAGCCGGGACAGCTCCCGGCAAGAAACTATCAGGAAGACGTGATCCGCTCTAGGTTATTATAAGACCCAGGAGATAATCAGTATTTTCTTTGCTGTCAGGACTCAAGCAGGGCAGTGTTGTTCTGACATAGGATTCAGCCTGCTTGTGCCAGTCTTTCATCCTGTCACGAATGAAGGGCTGCACGTGTATGAGGGGAGGGCCTTGTCTGCTATGCAGCTTTGTTGGGGGACCTGAGGTTGGTGCATGTGTGGCTCTCTTCTCTCTGACCCCGACATGTTTCCCTGCATCTGAAGCTCAGACCCAGCTAAACGCTAAGGGTGTGAAGGAAATCTGAAAATCTCAGTGTTGGGAGGGACCTCAGCAGCTGTCAAGCCCAGCCCTGGTTAGCTGTGCAAACCTCCCACTGGGCCTGGCCTGGAGCCTCTCTGAGCCACCCGTTCGGGGGCTCTGATGCTTGAACGGAGTGTTCTCTAGCCATTTTTATGTCGTTCACCTGGGTTCTGCCTTAGAAAGATCTTAATCGTCATTTTACAAGACAGCTCTCTGGCCAAAAGAAGAGGTTCTTGGACTCCTGTGCTCCTTCAAGTTTAGCGTCATCCCCTCTGTAACGGGCCAGATTGTGTCCCTCAAATTCATGTGTTTTAGTCCTCGCCCCCAGTCCTGCGGAATGTAACTATATTTAGAGATAGGGCCTTGAAAGAGGTAACTAATTAACGTTAAAAAGATGTCATTGGGGTGGGCCCTAATCTGATGTGACTGGTGTCCTTCCAAGAAGAGGAGATGAGGACCCAGAGGGACGACCATGTGAGAACATGGAGGAGAAGATGACCATCTGCAAGCCAAGGAGAGAGGCTTCTGCCCGCACCTCGAACTCAAAATTCCGGCCTCCAGAACTGGGAGAAAGTGCCTTTCTGTTGTTGAAGCTGCCCGGTCTGTGGTACTTTGTGATGGCTGCCCAGCAGAGTGAGCCACCAGCCCACCACCCCTCTCCTAACACCTTGTAAAAAGTGGCATCTAGAAGAACTGATTATGATTGGGCCAGAGAAGAGTAAGATGGTCAGCACCCATGTGATTAACAAACCAGGGTCCCGTTAACTTGGCTGGTCATGGTATCCAGTGACCATCTCCAAAGGCTTTCGTGTTTGTTTTCTAAAACTGTTCTTGCTCAGTCACTCTTTTTGCATCCTGTACTCGATGCAGTTGTTTTTTGAACTGGGTTGCAGGATTTTACGCGTAGTCCTGTTAAACTTTGCCTGCCTTGGGCTGAGTAAGCCAGTGACCGCCCCCATGCCTCAGGGAAGCCCTTGGAAACCACGTGTGGTGTCATCAGGGTTGGGCCTGAGGGATTCCCACAACACACATCCCACTCCCTAGTGACAACCCGGGGTTTGGTTGGAGGATTTCCTTTGGAATGACACGTAGGACAAAACTAACTGTCCCTAAGGTGGATTTCAGGATACACAGCGCCCAGTGTGGGTACGGTGGGGCTTCAGGTAGGATATCTGGGAGAGGTCAGTATGAATCCGAGCAGTGGGTGCGGAAACCCGTGGTAGTAGAATTGGGCCTTGCTGAAGGAGGGAAGACCGGTTCTGAGAAATGTCCTGGCTCAGCCAGAATCACGGGTGACGTGTGACAGAGGCAGAGCTTGGCTTCTCTATCCTTGTGTTTGCTTCTCTATCAAAGAAATTTCTTCTGGGAATTGAGGTAGTAAAAGGCATCGAGATCCCAAAATGAAATGTCAGAGACTTACCTAAAAAGGTGTTCTATATCATCAAGCCATTGCCTGCGAGGCTGCAAGAAAGTAGGGTCCTCGCTGAGGACATCTCAGGGGAGTGTTTGGGACAGGACCAGCCCTCAGAAGATGAGCTTCTTTTGGAATTAGACTTAAATTCACCTGCTCCTCATCTGGCTCAGGAACATCAGACCCTGTATTTTGCGCATGATCCAAGTCATCTGACCAAGGACGGGTATTGTGGACAGGCCTGGGTCCTCCCTGGGGCCATGTTGGTTTTTCACAGCAGAGCATCACGGGCTGTCTGCATGGACAGGCCTGCACTGGGCAGTTCTGTTGTCCCCGGGGCCCCTGACAGGCACAGGCGAGCACCATTAGCTCGTGAAGTGCTGCCAGTAAAGGCATCTAGAACATTCCACAAGAAGAACTCTTCTCCCTAAGGAGAACGGTAGTTGGTACCCATATGATAAATTCTTCATGACTCGGTCAGTCATTGGGAGGACCGCACTCTGGAATCCATTCCCATTTCCTGTTGATTTCCCCTTTGGTGATGTTCCTAGAAGATGTTCATGGGACAAAGAGTGTAAACATGGCTTGCTAATCCCAGCACGTCCTCTTTGCTGGTCCTTAGCACCTCAGGTGAGTTTTTAATCCCTGATCCTGACTCCTCTTCTGCCCGTGTGGTGGCTTCTGTAAGGAATAAGGGCAACAGTAAATACAGATGGACTTTGTGAATTAAAGAGCTGTATTCAGGGGCGCCTAGGTGGCTCAGTTGGTTAAGCGCCTGACTCTTGGTTTTGGCTCAGGTCATGATCTCGGGATCGTGGGATTGAGCCCCGTGAGGCTCTGTGCTGAGCATGGAGCCTGGTTAAGATTCTCTCTCTCCCTTTCCCTCTGCTCCTCCCTCTCCCCCCCCCCCAAAAAAAAACAACTGTGTTCAAATGGAAAGTACATGGACCAGTTTATCCCTACAGGTAAGGTAGTCTTAAACTTTTATTTATTGTAAACTGAAGTCCCTTCCATGCTTCCGAACTGGGGGGTGTGTTTGCACTCACCCCAGCTGCCAGATTCATTACTTGTAATAGTTTGACCCTTTTCTTCTCTACCTTGACATGTCCAAACCTCGAAGTCCTGGCCAGAGCCACCAGCTGCCTAGGCTGCAGGGTGGCCTTGGGAGTGACCTGGGGCCTCTGCGGGCTGAGGAGGTGATGGGGTGGTAGGGGCTGCCGAACCAGTGGCTCAAGGGAGAGGTGGCTTTCCCACCCATTTTTGGCCCAGTGAGGGCAGCCTGTACTTCCCGAAGCTTTGGGCCCCAGCCTGACACTCCATGAGCTCACGGACTCCTGTGTGTTTCTGTTCAAGATTTACGTCCACCTGAAGGAAGGCGGGGGCCCCGATGGGCTGGACGCACTGAAGAATAAGCCCCAGCTGCACAGCATGGTGGCCCGAAGCCTGTGCCGTAACGCAGCGGGCAAGAACTACATCATCTTCACGGGGCCCAGCATCACCAGCCTGACCTTGTTTGAGGAGCTGGAAAAGCAAGGTTTGTTGTGTGGCGAGCCGGTCCCAGCGTGGCCGCTGCCCCCCTGGAGAAGTGGTGGGGAGGCCTGGGGGGTGCAGGTGCGTAGCAACCAGCATGGCCCATAGACCGCTACGGCCAGGAGGGAACACAGCAGTTTCAGCCCGTGCTGTGCCTGCCACGTACCTGGACCCTACCGGGCACCAGAGATCTGAAGGCACGCCTGCCACAGGCTTGCGCTCTGCCCGGGGCCCCTTTGTGTCCTTCCTTGTAAGACCGGGGCCATTCCAGGGGTTCTCCCGGTGTCTTAGTCCATTCGGGCTGCTCTCACAAAGTACCTCAGATTGGGCGGCTTATAAACAGCAGGTATTTATTCCTCGCAGTTCTAGAGGCCAGAAGTCCAAGATCAGGGCGCCAGTGCTAGAAGGGCCTCTTCCAGGTTGCAGACCTCCCATGACGTGATGGAAGCGACAGGAAGCTCTCTGGGGTCCCTTTTCTTGAGGGCACTCCTCCCATTCACGAGGGCTCCACCCTCATGACCCAGGCCCCTCCCAAAGGCCCGCCTCCTAACAGCCTCCCCTGGGGCATGAGGCTTTCAGCGGAGTAATTTGGGGGGAACATACACATTTGCTCTGTAGCGCCTAGATGCTGCTCCTATGAAGGCCTGGAAGTCTGGACTCAACCCCCACCTATAATGTGGGCCCTCCGGCTGACAAGGACGTCACAGAGAATTATGTAGATTAATACAGGCTGCAGTGCAGTGGGCCTCAAAATTCTTAGTATCCTTGGTGCTGAGATGCTTTGTTCATCGGTTGAAAGATCGGGAAACCTTCGTGGCTCTGGCAGAAATGGGGGCTGGAGAAAAAGCTCTGGACTGAGTTAGGGAGCCTGAGAGCAGACTGCTTATCCTTTGCTTTTCCCATTTTTGGGGGATTTGTATCTAGTCCACTCGGGAGAAACATAAAAAGCCTCTGCTCTGCTATGGCAGCCACTGGAATTGCAGACCTATTGCTTAGCAACGGATCAGACATCTGGCCTTAAAATCCTCTCGAGTCATGGGGGGGAGCCAACACCTTCTGACCTTTACCTCCGCCACAGCAAGGATGAAGCAGCCCCTGGACTTGGTGCTCTGCTGGCCCTGCTGGGTTTTACTCCTCTGCGAGGTCCAGGCCCCGACAGGGCTCGGGGTTTACCGGTGGGGAGAACTCAGGGTGGAGAGCTCAGACTATGCGAAGAGGGGCCGTGGAAGTCAAGGTGGAGACAATTGGCCCTCATGTGTGTTACCAGCCACACGGGAAGAACGAGGGTGTGGTGAGAATCTGGGCTGCCATCCCTGCCCGCCTGGTCCGGTCCCGGGGTGGGTGTGTGGCCATAAAGCCCTGGGGTACCTGGAACTGCCTTGGGGTACAGAGGCAGGGATGAAGGAAGTATGCACACGGGTTACAGAATGTTTCAGTTTACTGACGATAGGGTGTCAGTCTTCGGTGAACTTCAGTCTTTCACTGAAGACCCGGGGATGAGACCGTCCCCAGTGACTTCAGTCAAAAGGGCCACTTCACGCCCCCTGCAGGCATCCAGACTGGAGCTGGCTGCAGGGAGGAGCAGGCTCCCCATGGCCCACTCAGTGGGGCAGGCCTGTGCGTGGGGAGGGCCAGGAAAGGCCTTGAGCCCAGGGCGGAGTTTAGCAAGGTCTCCTTGTTCACACTGGCCTGTGCTCACAATCCTTCCTGCCCCCATGGAAACTTCTGTGCATTAAAGCCCACACTGTCACCCCTCCCTCGAGAGGCTTTATGTTGAGAGGCAGGATGTTGGCCTGGCACATATTGTTTGGTGATTCTTTCCTCTGCATTTAACTTACCTCCAAGGGAACGGGGGCTCCATCCTGCACGCTGCCCCTGGGTACTGTGCACGCAAGCACAGGGCGGGGCCCCTGGCTGGTCCAGTCTTGGCCAGAGTGTTAGGGGGTCATAACTGTGGTCAGGGGCTTGGACAGCAGGCAGACCTGTGCTTAATCCCTGCCTTTGCCCTCCTGGCTGGGAGCCTGGGGGCCTCTTGGAGCTGTAGTTCTTCTTCTGTAATGTGGGTAGGATAACCTGAGTGTAGAAGTTTCCAGAAGTTTGTAGAAGCAGATGGGATGATAGGTGCACATGCTCAGCACTGTGAGCGCTCTAACGACGAGACTTCTGTTGGTACTGCCAATTCACTGCTCGTGCGATGGTCTCGCGTGTCATCTTACAGGTACTTACAGAAGTCCTGGGAGAGACAGCACCTTCGGGAATAGAAGTCCCCGAACTGTAGCAGTCTCCTCTACGGGGACTTCTAGGGGGCCCGTCTCCCAAGCATCAGCCTCAGAACGGGGTGGTCCCGTCCTTCATGCCGGCGGGTTGTCCGTGACCGTGTGGACACGGATTTGTCCCTCTCCCCACAGACATTTACTGCTGCGGCCTGCTCAGCTCCAGGAAGAGTGACTGCACCGGCCTGCCCCTGTCCATGCTGACGAACCCGGCCACCCCCCCAGCCCGGGGCCAGCACCGCATCAAGATGAAGGGGAACATGTCTCTGATCTGCTGGTACAACAAAGGGCACTTCCGCTTCCTGACCAATGCCTACTCGCCGGTGCAGCAAGGTGGGGCCCCGGGGGGACTCTGTGCAGCTCTGGTGTTGGGTAGCCCCCGTTCCCCAGCAGCATGTGAGCCCACCACTCACCATGCCACATCCGACGGGGGTCGGGAGGCGTGCAGGAGCTGCCGGGGCCCGCGGGCCGCCAGCTCAGCGTGGCTTGTCAGCTGGGAGAGAAGCCACGGCGGGATTTGTGGGTCCCCTGGCTTGTGTGTGGCCGTGGTGACTGGCCGTGTTCGAATGGCATTTCCCCGATCACTTGATCATCTAGGATTCTTTGAAGAATCTGTTCTGATGGGAGGGGAAAATATCCACTGTTTTATCACTTCGGTGTCGTCCTTTGAGGTTACCCACTGGTGTTTTGGGGCGTTCAGGTGATTCTGTCATTAATCTTCTTGGGGGTTTAGAATCCATTCATGACAAAGGGATTTACTTAGCAAGGAGTCTGTAGTTAAAGTAGCTACAGCTGAAACACTTGTAAACTGCTGAAAAGGGAAATGGAAATGACAGCGGGGCACTATACAAAAATATTTGCATTTACATAGTGTATTTAAAATCCCCTGTATTCCTTTATATTAAGACATCTTTCCTCTTCTGAAGGAACTCTGTAGGAGGCTCAGTTGTGGGGGAGGAGAGTGGGGGCATGTATGTGGGTGTGTGTGCGGTGTATCTGTGTGATGTGTACGTTTGTGGGGGGGGTGCTTAATTAACGCCTGCCGTTCATTTATTCCATCCCTCCCCCCACGCGCACACGTAAGTCATTATGTTTCGGTGGAGATTAGAACCCAGCGACGCAAGCCTATGGGACTTACGTGTAGAGAGCTATGGAAAGTTGCCAGTTTCTCCAGGGCTGTGTGAAGGGCACCTAGAGGAAATGTTTGGAATTGACCCTGCAAGCTGAAGGCGAGACTTTGAATTGGACTTCTGTACTCTCCTGATTGGGCAAGAGCCTTCACGGAGAGAAAGTTCAGGAAGAGGTTGTAGGAGCTCCCTCCCACCAAATTGTGCATAACAAATTATAAATTATGCAATACTGTTGAAGATGACAAAACCTTAAAACCCCAATCTCAAGGTTTGAGAGCCTTAAATCTGTCACCAAGGGAACCAGCAAAGAGGATATTGATGGGGAAGAAGAGAAAATTGGTAGGCTTGATCTTTAAATATGCCAAAATTTAGTGTTTGTGTTTCCTTCAGTTGTAGTTGCCATTTCTAAAGTACTCTAAATCACAAAGTCCTGGGCGCCTGGGTGGCTCAGTCGGTGGAGTGTCTGCCTTCAGCTCAGGTCAGGATCCCAGGGTCCTGGAATCGAGCCTGACGTTGGGCTCCCTGCTCAGTGGGAGAGTCTGCTTCTCCCCTCACTTCTGCCCCTTACCCCGGCTCATGCTCTCTCTCTCTCTCTCTCTCTCGTGCTCTCTCAAATAAAATCTTTTTTAAAAAAATCACAAATTCCCAAATCTTAGACTCCCTTAAAATTCCCAGGAAGTATGCCTCAGCCCCTCTGGCAGCAGCCCCAGGGTGGGTGGCCCAGACGCCCATGAGCCAGGCCTGCTTGGGAGCAGGAGCACCCAGAGGCAGGGAGGCGGTGTGAAGAGCCCAGGCTGGCCCCTCTCTCCTCCCCACGGGGGATTCCTTTCACTAGTCTACATCTTACAGTGGTTTTTTTTTTTGTTTTTTTTTTAATGAAGGGAGAGATTTTTCCTTTCAATGTACTTTCATTTTTTTTAATGTCATAATTTCTCTGCCCCCTCATTAATGATCCATTTTTTATATGAATAATGTAGTGAATATCTCCATACATTTGGGAACATCTTTGATCATTTCCTCAAAATAAATCTGAGAGTAGAGTAGCTGGCCCAGAGGGTCTGAACATTTGGAAGGCTTTTGATGACATGTTGTTGAAAGACCATTCTTAACACTATGACGGGCTCTGAGAGGACCCATACTCCTCCTGCGTTTACCAACACATTTTTTCCCCTAAATTTGTCAGTCTGGGGGGTGAAAATGCTACAGAATTTTAAATCTAAATTGCATGACTGCTGGGGAGGTTGAGCATCTCTTTGTGAATTTGTTGGACAATTTTCAGTGATTTCTTCGTGTTGTGTTCAGTTTGTCCTTTGAGACGCTTGTCTTGTTGAAAGCAGATTTTATGCCTATAAGCAAGTATTTTTCTGCATTTGTTTTACTTTTGCTTTTATTTATGATTAGTATTTTTTAACCTCAAGTTGTTTTTCCTTCTGCACGGGCAAGATCTGTTGGTCACGTTCTTTGTTCTTATAAGAGCTTTGAAAGTCCCTGCTTTGTGCCAAGGCTGAATGAGTGTAATAAGATCACCTGCTTGTCATATAGTGTGATTTTGTGCTCTTTACAGTAACCCTCTGGCATCAGTTGGGTTTTTACTCTTTTTTTTTTTTAATTAAGTGGCAAGTGTTGGCTGACCAAGCAGGCCTGCCTCTGTGCCTGAACCATTTATAGAAAAACTCTTTTTCTACTTTTTAAAAATATCACCCAGAGGATGAAGTCTCAAATATTGTAAAGACTGCCTTTCAGCTTTAGACTCTCTCCTGCTATGATCCTATATATATATATATATATATACATGCTCTTCTAAAAGTTGAGTAGAATTTCCAATTTTAGTAACTATATAACTGGTGAGGAACATTTTAGGAATCGGTTTATTATTTCTTCTGGATTCTAAGGAAAAATGTCCCTTCTTTCAGAGAACGTGAGCATGTGCACAGGCTTCTTAAAAGTCACATTTCCAGGGACATCCGTATGGAGAACCCAACCCTTCTGCTTTCCTTCTGAAATCCGTTTTGGATCTGTCCTCTCCCTACCAGAGTCTTGGCCCACCTGGGGCTCAGGCTCCACGAGACCGAGTCACACACAGAATGCGGGTGTAGGACTGAGTCAGGGCTTGACTCATTCAGCCTCACGGAGTGGCAGAACGACCATCAGCCACGCCGCGAATAGCCTTGGGAGGCGGTGGACAGGGCTGCCACTGCGCATGAGCACACGTGTTTCTCCCACCCGGTCAGATCGATCTCTGGTGCCGCAGAGGTACCTCCGTGTGTGCGCGGAGATTCCACACAGCTGTGAATGCGCAGGGTTCGCCCAGGGCACCTGTGGGCCGCGTACAGATGACGTCAGCAACGCCAGTAAATATCAGCGTCTTGTCACCCTGTCCCATGTGCAAGCTTGTTGGTCCTCAGAAAAGGATATGACGGAACATTTCTAGCTGGAATAGTATCTCAAAATCCAAAATATCACCAAGGATGAGGTTGATTTATAAAATGGGGGAAATGCTCAAGCAGAGGAGCGCAGACCTGGGGTTTGAAGCCACTCTGCTGAGATTTCCAGCAGAAAGCCTCGTACGTTGACAACCATGAGAAGGATGAGGGAATGAAGGGCTGGAGCACGTCCCCCCTGGCATTCAAGGAACTATGGCCCCGGCGGTCACCCAGGAGGCCGGAGCTGTAGGCTGTGGGAGCTCCAGGGACGAGGTCGACCCTGAGCCCCTTGGCGCGTGAGCCCGACTGCCTGGAAAGCTGGGTGACTCAGAGCGAGTCACCCTCCGCATCTGGGGAAGAACGGAGGGGACTCTCTTCCTGTACAGGGATGATCTGATGCGTCCGTATCCACGTGCACTCCGTGGAGCCCTCATGGGGCCCGAGCCTCTTTAGACTCAGAGGAAACTGTAATTTCGGACAAACGAAAACGGAGCTGGGAGACCTGCCCAGGCCTGGGCTCATGTGTGAGACTAGGATGCTTCCCTGATCAGTCTTGGGCTGGGGTGGGCTGAGATAAGGGACCAGGAACAGGCATACTCAGGGGTGCCGTTGGAGAGGGACAGCCCTCCTTGGAGGCTGCAGGACATGCCCATCCCGCCTGTGTGGCTGGATCACCAGACAATAGAGCATCTCCGTGCAGAGTCCCAGAACCCTCTGGACAGGAGGAAGCCCCCAGCCTGGGCCTTGAGGCCCTCTGACCCTCCAAGAGCTAGATGCATTGCCTGGGCCCCACTCCAGGCCTCCCAAGACCACATCTCTAGGGGTGGGGCCCTGCCAACCTCAAGTTCTCCAGGGACTTCTTGGTGTGAAAAACCAGTATCTGGGGGCATGGCTGGGGGACAGGGACCAAAAGAAACAGAAAGATCCCAGCTCAGGGCTCAGTCTGTGCAAATGGATCCCTACACTCCTGTCTCCTGTAGGTCCCTTGGTGAGCTGGCAGGAGACATGCTAGGTGAAAGCCCCTTATGCCCGCAGGGGACACCCCTCTTGTACTTCAACTGTATCCATTCAAGTAGCGTGAAAACTTCACAGTCCTTTAGACTGATCCCTTTTAAAAAACACACTCCAAAAAACGGTGCTGTTCTCATAATCCCTTGATGTTGTGGGGGGAGGCTGGTCAGAGGAGATGGTGGCAAATCCCGGCCAAACCTGAGCGCACACGGCTCCTTGGACGAAAGCATTCTTCCACGTCTTCCGCGTCATGTCTGGAGGGCAGCTGTGGGCCCGTGGGGCGGGTCCTGGAAACGAGGCGGTCCCGCAGCGGTTTGGGCAGCAGGGTGAGGAGGGCTAACTGATCTCTTTCTGCTCTTCACACCCTGATCAGTGGGCAGTGCCCCTGGACACCTTCCCATTTGCATTTAGTAGAGCAAAGGCATTTGAAGGCCTGGGGTTGGGGGTAGGGAGCAGAGTTTCAGGAGCGGCAGGATGCAAAAGGCACTTTCCCTCCCTTAGTCCACAGGGGCCCCCCAGAAGTCCTGGGATGCACGGAAGGGGGAACCTGGGGCTCGTTGGGTGGGGGGCTCCTCGTTCTTCTGGGTCTGTAACTCCGCCCTTCTGCTGTGATGGAGGCGGGCAGAGGAGACAGAAAGGACTCGAGTGCTCCCTGACCTCGGCAGCCTTTGTGTGGGGAGGGAGAAGGTGGGGAGAGTGAGTCCTGCATCTCCCCTTTGCTCTCTGAAGGCCCTGCCAGGTGTGGCGCCCTCCCCGGTGCCACTTAAAGCCACCTTTGGGCCCGCCATCACCCCGCGTGCCCGCAGCACCCCTACACACTCACCTAACTTTATGTTCTCCTCACGTCCCCGGGGGCTTTTAGGGACCGGGGTCCATCTTCTGCCCTTCCCCCTCGGGTCCCTGTTGCATGGGTGGAGCTAGGCACCTTCGTCAGCGGGCGTGTGCAGGAGACCGTTCGGGAGGGGTTGTGAGCTTCTCTCTTCCCCGCAGGAGTGATCATCAAGAGGAAGAGTGGGGGCATCCCCTGCCCCTTGGCCGTGGAGGCATTTGCTGCGCACCTTAGCTACATCTGCAAATACGATGACAAGTACAGCAAGTGAGTGAGCAGGCGGCTCGCAGCCACGGGAGGGCTCCTGCGGTCTCACGGGTGCGGACTAGAGGTTGCTGGGTGCTCAGGAACCTCCCAGCTTCAGAATGAACGGAGCAAGCCCCTGTGAGACAAACTCCTGAGCCCTCGTCCCGGCCTCTGGGCTCACCTGTGCAGCCCCCTCCCGCCCGGGCACCCTGCCTCCTCCCCCACCACCCTTGCCCCGAGGGGCCCTTCCTTCCACTCACTCGGGTCTAGCCTGCACCCTCCGTCCCCCGGCCAGACTGCCCTCCGCCCGTCCCTCACAGCTGCGGCCCCATCACATTGAGCCCTGGTTTCCAGCACAGGTTACATAACTCTTTCCACTCTGGATGCCCGTAGCAGGTGCACACCCACAGCGCCGTAACAGGAACTCAAGAAGCGATTGCTAGTGAACCTGAATGTGACTATTAATTGCCAGGGTCGAGCCTCACAACCTAGAACAAAGTTGGAGCAACCCCAAAGACAGGTGGGCGTTTACTCAGTCCGCTTGGAGGGGAATCTGCTGGATTTCATGGCAAAGAGAGAAAACCGAGGACCCGGTTCTCCCTGGAAAACTGAGCCTAGGTTCGGAGGGGAGCCCCACTCCATTGGGAGTCCTTGAGCAAATGTTTATTGCACGCCAGCTGTGTGCTCAGCACCTGCTGATTCCAGGCGGTTACTACAAAGAAATCCGCGTTGATTTAATAAACATGTTCAGGACCGCTCTGGGCTGGTGGTGGTGAAGATACTGACCCTCAAACACTCCTCAGTCTGGTGCAGAGACAAAGATGCGATGGAGGACACAGTGCAGGGATGAGTCCTAAGCTGGGTTGGCCCTGGAGGGGCCTCCCTGAGGTGACATCCGTCCTGGACCTGAAGGGAAGGCGGGGGTGGCAAAGAGACGTGCACTCGGGAGGAGGGGACACATTGCAGACGCCTGCAGCTGAGGGTGAACTTGCCCTTGGGACGCGGAGGCAGTTCAGTGTGCCCGGGACGCGGCATCCAAGGAGGGCTCTGGGCAAAGCTCGGGTCGGAGCTTCTGAGCTTCGCCACGGAAGGCCTGGCTCCCTGTTCCAGCATCTCCTTCAGCGACCCCACTCCCAGCCAGTCCTCTGATAGGAATGGTTTTCATCTTCTTAGTCTCAGGTCAAGTTCAGTGTGACAGGGCCTCAGCGGGAGCCAGCCCCCAGCCTGCCTCCCACCCCCGCGGCCCCTCGGTGGCAGCACTGACCGTGATGAGGCCCTGTGGGACCACCCCCCCCGACACGGGTGCCCGTGAACCCCTGGGGTCAGCTTCTCTTATCCCTCTGTCCTCGTAGGTATTTCATTTCTCATAAACCGAACAAGACCTGGCAGCAGGTGTTCTGGTTCGCCGTCAGCATCGCCATCAACAACGCCTACATCCTCTACAAGATGTCCGATGCCTACCACGTGAAGAGGTACAGCCGGGCGCAATTTGGCGAGAGACTGGTGAGGGAGCTGCTGGGCCTGGAGGAGGCCTCACCAGCCCACTGATGCCACCGCGGCCAGGCTTAGGTGAGGACCAGGTCCGGGAGGCAGGAGGAGGGAGAGAGCCTGCCGTTCCGACCTGCCCAGCCAGAGCCCTGGGGCGCCCCTGGGTGGGGGGGGGAAGGGGGTGGGCCCGGCCTCCGCAGGGCCCAGGGTGGGCCTGGTCAGACGACGGCTGCTCTCCCGGTTCCCCTTCAAAGAAGAGCACGTCCTCCCTCCAGAAGCCGCCCACCCGGTGCCGGGATGGGCGCCGCACCCAGACTCTACATGCGGGCCCGGGCGCTGTCGGTGGCCTTTGCCCCGTGGGGCACCGCATCCTCGGGACACCCATGGAGCTCACCTCAGCACGGGGGACCCGGGAAGGCTGTCGCCACCAGAGGCACCGGGGATGGGATGTGCCGTAGTGTGTTCCGCTAGAAGGGCCTGCTCTGTGAGGGTGTAAAGACGTGTGCGACCGGGTTCCACCTCGTGCCGTGTCTGCAGGTGACCGGAAGCGAGCAGGTCATGCTAAGGCGGTCGGGCGTGTGCAGGAGACTGGAGCGTTCTCTGGTCCTTGCGCCGTGCAAGCCACTCAGAACGGGTCTCCTAGAACAAGAAACAAACTGGGTGCCGTGAAAATGCAGGGATGAAATGGGGGGAGCGGTTGCCAATTCTGATTAATAAACGAGGCGTCCCTACTCATTTCATTTCTCTGGCTGGTGGCCCGGGGCGGGGGGTGGGGGGAAAGGGGAAATGCCAACAGAACCGCAGTGATGTGTGATGCTATTTTTTATTTTTAAATATATCTTCAGGTTATTTTCTTACTGTTGCTTAAGATCTTCTGTAAAAGGAAAATATCCCCCTTCTTTACCGCCCCCTCCCCCACCCCAGCCGTGACTCCTTGCATGAGCACAGTTCGGCATTCCAGGCCCTGTGACTGTACCGGGCTGGAGGGGGCAGCTGGCTTCCAGAACGGACGTGGTTCCATTCCATCGAGGATCCTGGGGAGGGGGGGGGGTCTGTGGGCCTTATGCTTTGTCACAGACATTGCCATTGGTAGAATTCCTTGTTTCGAAAACGTGTAGTATTGCTGAAGCAAACAACAAAAGGTCTGGGGAGGACGCTTGCTCCGCCCCACCCCCCGCCACCCCGGCCCCGTGTGCAGTGACCTGGCGGTGTCCACCCCTGTCCACCCTCGGGGCCCTGTGGCCAGCACACCCGAGCCCTGCGATGGGCCGGGGCCCCCAGCTCCGTCGGGTGTGGTGTCCCGCAGGGCCGGGGGCTCGCGCGCCCGGGGACTGAGAGCTGCACACCCAGCAGCCAGCAGCAAGGGCTCCGCTGACTTCCCACAGCATCCGGGGCTCCTTGGGAGCCCGGGTCCGTGTGTCTCCGGGGGAGGCCTCAACCCGGCTCGCCCACTGGTCTGACCATCCCCCACAGATGAGAAAGAGTGACTTCTGGAGTTACTCGACCCCCTGCACCTCAATTTATGTAGCCCCCTCATTTTTTACAAATGCAAAATCTATTCTACTCAGGCTTTGGGACTTTCTTCCTTGTTCACACTCAGTTGATTCCAGGTGTTGCCGGCAGCATGCTCCTCAGCTCCATGTCATTTCCGTACCCTAGGTTCATGAGGATCCCCCTCGCCCTGTGGTTTGAATTCGATGCCACGGATTGTAGGCCACATTTTCAATTGTGTTTCAGAACACCTTCGCCGTATCCTTTAATTGGATTGAAAGCACTTTTACCACATGGAGAAATATATTTTTAATTTGTGATGCTTTTCTACGAGGTCCACTCTTTCTGAGTCTAATGTGTTTCCAACACTTGGGGAGACTCTGATGAAAGCTGATGAATTTTCTTTTCTGTCCAAATAAGTAAAGGAAAAAATAAAAGTCTATTTAGATGCTGATCCCTTTTGTTAACATGTGAATTTCTTTCCAACGTTAGGGACAAAAGTATGGGCTACTCTTTTAAGACTTGACTTCTCGTTCTATCATCTAGTGTGTAGGATCTGGGACTGTTTTTAGTATCCTATGCCCCTGAGCAGTTAAAAAAAAAAAATTCGGTTAAGTCTTTTTTCTTTTTTAAGATTTTATTTATTTAGAGGCGCCTGGGTGGCTCAGTCGGTGAAGCATCTGACTTTGGCTCAAGTCATGATCCCAGGATGCTGGGATCGAGCCCCACATAGGGCTCTCTGCTCGGCGGGGAGTCCGCTTCTCCCTCTCTCTCTACCTCTCCAACCCCTCTCATGCTGTTTCTCTCTCCCTCTCAAATAAATAAATCTTCCAAAAATTATTTATTTATTTATTTGACAGAGAGAAAGTGCACAAGCCAGCCCTATGAGCACAGCTGTATTCTAGGTGCCTGTGTGGGAGAAAACCCCCACCTGCCTGCCAAACGGGATTCCTCCTTGTTTCTTCTAGTCGGCATTGTCATCCACATCCTCCCAGAGAGGCACCGTTGGGACGGTGGGTGGGTGACTCTGCGTTACCAAGTAATTAGAGGGGGGACTTACACCATTTCAGTGCTCTGGGTTTTAAGTGGTAGATGCCTGTTTGTGAATGCTTGAAGCAGACAGCAAACTTCTAGTGGAGCCCCTGCAGGGTTGGGAAGAGTTTCTGTCCTTCTGGAAGGAGGAAAAAGTGACGTGGAGTACTTATTAGGAAAACCTGCAAGCAGGGGGACCTTGCCCCACCGATGTGAGGCTGACAGCCTTGGGGAATCGCTCCAGTTAAAATCCACCTGGCTCCAGGATCCCCGTGGGTTTGAAGGCCTCAGCTTGGCCCTAGATTGGCTGCTTTAGTAGCTGGTGCCTGCTGGTGCCGGGGGAAGGAAGTGGCTGTCACCAGAGGGGGTGCCGGCACAGCCTCCGCAAAGGCCGGGAGCAGGTGGGCACCTGTGCATCCCTGGCCGGTGAGACCTACCTGGGGCCTGCCTCAGCGGCACACGCTCCCCTGTGGGATCGCTTTGCTGCAGGGCCTAAAAAACAGAATAAGGAGCTTCCTGATCCCTGTGGAAAATAAAACAACAGAAGCCGAGACGCTTCTCCAAAGAAAAGCTCTCTTAGACCAGATGCCCTGAGCTTTATGTGGTTTAAGTCCCAGTCCCAGGACTGCGACAATATTCAGAATTAGGTAAGGGAAGCCTTCAGAGAAGGGAACGTGGGTGAGCTTCTATTTGCCGCCTTCCTGATCAGTTTCTTTATTTCATTCATGTTGTTTCTTCTCCCCACATTTCTGCTGCCCCCAAAGCCTCAGTTTTGAACAAGGTCTGACTGTGGTCAATGGGGAACGTTATAATACTAAGGCCATATTTCAAAACTCAGGTGAGTTACATCGGAAAACCTTGGTGTCTGGATCATTCTGGGCAAAGACATCCGGTTTCTTGGCTCCATCAGACAAGGCCCAGCCACCAGAATCGAATGAACTCTACGGTTGTTGCAGAGAAGATCGCAGACGCCAGGACAGGAGCTGGGAGGCTCTGGTCATCATGCATGGCCGTGCAGTGCCACTGTCCTCGGGAATCTGGCCTCAGCATCGGGCAGTGAGGGAGGCGGGCAGACCCACCCACGAGGTGGAGGTGGCAGTTGGCATTGCAGCCCATGCCTTCTCTGAAATTTGGGGCACTCACCCTGGCAGGCACGAGACACCTTGGTTGGTATAGGGGTGGCATATTCCAGAAAAGACACCAGATACGGCTTTGGCATATTCCAGAAAGGAACAGAATCAGCCTCCTCAGAAGGCTGGAGCCAGACTATATCTGACCAAAAACTGCCAATTTGTCATGCAGTCAATTACATGTAAGTGTAATTGCCCCGAGAGCCAATTATGTTGGTGCCAAATATGCACAGGTGCCCATTTTCCAGAATGTTTCTGGAAAGCATGGCACCATGTGTGAACAAGTTAAAAAGTGGTCCTCTCCCAGAGGTCATAACCCAGCAGAAAGCTCTGCTTTCCCAAAGGCTCTCCCAGAAGTCATAACCCAGCAGAAAGAAAGTTTCTTATAAATACCAACATGCGGTTACAAAATTTTTATTCCTTCCATTCTCCCTGTGGCTTATACTTGGTTCTATTTTCTCCAAGGAAATAGGGTACTGACCTCCTTCTCCAGCCTGACAACCGGTGTGAGGGTTTGCTTGTCCCCAGTTAACTTCTAACGTCCCACCTCATTCAATAAGAAAGGGTCACGACTTCAACAAAAATAGTGGTAGAAAAAAATCATTCACTGGGAAGATGAGATTTTAGCTCTTAGCTCTTCCCTAGCCTTGGCCGTCTTTCTAAAGTGCATCTGTTCCTCAAAAAATTAAAAACTACTACCAGGGGGTGCCTGGGTGGCTCCATTAGTAAAGCATGCAGCTCTTGATCTCAGGGTCGTGAGTTCAAGTCCTATGTTGGGCATAGAGATTAAAAGAAAATTGTACTACAATATGATCTGGCAATTCCACTTCTGGGTATTTATCCAAAGAAAATGAAAACACTAATTTGAAAAGGTATGTGCAGGCCCATGTTCACTGCAGCATGATTTACAACAGCCAAGACATGGAAGCAACCTGAGTGTCCATCGATGAATGAACAGATAAAATATTATATAGCCTTTAAGAAGAATGAAAGCCTGCCTTTTGTGACAATGTGGATGGACCTTGAGGGAGTTAGTGCTAAATGAAATAAGAGAAAAATACTGGGGGCGCCTGGGTGGCTCAGTCGGTTAAGCGTCTGCCTTCAGCTCAGGTCGTGATCCCGGGGTCCTGGGATGGAGCCTCACATAGGGCTTCCTGCTCGGTGGGGGACCTGCTTCTGCCTCTCCCTCTGCTACTCCCCCTGCTTGCTCTCTTTCAAATAAAAAATAATAAAAATAAATTTAAAAAATTACTGTATGATCTCTTATATGTGTAATCCAGAAAAAATATATATATATATATAAATTAAGCTCATAGATCTAGAGAACAGATTTGTAGCTGCCGGAGATAGGGGACGGGGAGTGGGAGAAATGAGTGAACTGCTTTTTTTTTTTTGTTTAAGATTTTATTTATTTGACAGAGACACAGCGAGAGAGGGAA